CATATACATACACTGGTTTGCATGTGATCAGCTATCTTTTTGAAGTAGCTAGGTAACGCGCTCCTCAACACTACTAAGAGAGCATCTTGACAGTGGTGTATAGTCATCAAAGGCACTTGTTCCACAAAATTTACTACTAGACCAAACTAAATGTCCCCTCAAATTTGAAGCTGGCAGCCAAGGCAGCGCCTTTACATGAGTGGCCAGCAGTCTCTTCTCCCTGTCAACCTACAATCGAACTGCTATCACTAACAAAATTTATTAAAAAGGGTACAATGATTACAACTAAGAAAAAGTTAAAACTGAATAAACTGAATACATCCAACAAACATTATGATTTTATAGCAATGCAGCGTAGTTCAAATAAGAATGAAACAAGAAACAAAACCTAAGGAATACGGGTTAAAGAAAACAACTGCAAGATTCAGCAATGCTCAATATTATATTCCACAAAGTCTCCAGAACAAATCAAATATTCAAAGACACTGCTTCATTATTGATATACACAGACTAGCTAAATGGAGAAATATTATCTAGGAAACAACTGTATGCATGAGAATCATGACAGCATTGGATAACTGAGAACATATTGTGTTAGTATGCTGTGCTTTGGAAATATCTCTTGCAATCCACTAAACTTGTGTGCATGCACCTAGCTAAGAACTCAATACTCTATCCTCATCTACACGTGCATATAGTTGAACCGTGTGAGCTTGTTATTTTAACATGATCCTTGCTTCGATAATCCATACTATGCAGGTTCAAGGAATACAAAAAGGCGAACACAAGTGGCAAACATTTTATTCATGTCAAGACCAAATCACATTGCACAAAATTCATTATTTAATGCAAAAATCTGCACAACTAACACCAACTTTAGTAAACACACTGGAACTCACACACACAAGAACAGTGTGTTTGGCGGCTGGAATGGCTTAGCCTTTTCTGATTTTTCCTCCTAGCTTTATGCAGTGCTGAGAGCTAGGCTGTGATATAATCAATGCAGAATATTACCCAAATAATCAGCCTATTACTCTTATTACTTCATGCTGAAATTTAGCTCAAGTAAGTCTGTGAACCTAGACACTAGCATGCATCTAGACACACAGGATTATTTCCAACACCACAAAAACCCTTTCTTTTTATGAATACATTCACCGACAACCTTAGCATGCAATGCATTAACAGTAGTGCATATCTCAGATATAATTAAATCGAGTCAGTTTTTATTGGAACAAGAAGTGGAAGCAGGGGCGATGATGATCGCCAGATGCCTAGCACTGTGGGAAACACTCTATTAAGCTCTTAACAAAATACAATAGAATTGCATTATTTATTGTTTCCAACAATAATTGAAAGGTTATAACCTTTGGAAATATATAGCTGCTCAGTTCGGTCGTTTGGGTAGGTACAGCACTGATTTTTCTTTCGATATGGGCTAGGCTACAAGGCTAATTTAACGCACAGAGGCTTGTACAACAAATAATTGAGTCATGATAGACTACCAACGAGATACTAAATTGATCCTTCCATAGTATTTACGGCGTCGCCTAGTCGTCCGAGCGGGATTCCAAACGGGGCATCGCGGTCGCCGCGCCCTCATCGTGTATGGCGTCGCCTCGCGGCTGAAGGCGTCGATTTCGCTGAGGCGGACGGCACTGGACGGAAAAGCGCGCTGGAAAGAGCAGCGCCGCGCGGGAAAAGAGCAGAGCAATGCGCGCGCGTGGGAAAAGAAGCAGATGCGCGCCTACACCTTCCGCCAACCCAATCCCCATCGCGTCAGTTGAGAGAGGGAGAGGGAGAGGGAAAGGAAGGAGAGAGGAAGAGAGAGGAGGGCGGCAGCGCACCTAGAATCCGGCGCCGGCGCGGCGCAGGCGACTACCCCCGCGCTAGTCCGGCCCGTCCGCGACCCGCCTACGCGAGCACGACTTCATCCCGTCCGCGACACCAGCCCTGTCCGCGACCGACTCCGGCTCCGTCCGCCACGACCCGCGAGCAGCCCCGCGACCGACTCCAGCCCCGTCCCCAACCGCGACTCTGCTCTGCGACCACGCGATTGGCAATTACATCCTCCCCTCCTCTTTCCTCTGCTGCTCTGCGGCTCTCCTCTTGCTCCCCATTCTTCCTCTGCTCTTCCTCCCCTTCTTCCTCTGCCTCGTTCCCATGCTCTGCTCCTTCCTGTGCTCTACTTTGCTTTCTCTGCTCTGCTTGTTTCTCCTATTTATGTGTTACAGTTTGATAGTTGGAATGGATAGCTCACAGGTGTGCTCTTCTGATGTGGTTGCCTAATTGCTGTGAATAATTAATATATGCTTGACTGTTTGTCTCTTTTGATGTGGTTGCCTAATTTATTGATCTGTGTCATTGTTATATGTGCCTCTGAGGCTCTGATTGTGAACAGTAGTATGTGTATGGCGTCGCCTCGCCGCGCGCCTAATTCGCCTAGGCGTCTGGAAGGGGGTGGAGCGCCGCACCTCGCCTTACCGCCTTAAAAACTATGGACCCTTCACCTTTTGAAATTTGAAAGCTTTTGAAACAACAAAAGCGGCAGAAATACAGTACAATGTTAAATAATACAGTATATATCAACTACTCCCTCCATTCGAATTTATAGGTCATTTTGGCACTTCTAGATACACAGCTTTTGTTATGTGGGGCCGACAAGGCCAGCGCCGCTCCAGGGCTCGAGATGCTGCCAGGGGCGCGCCCAAGGAGGTGCATGCTGAGACAGCTGTAATCAATGGCAGTTAAGCTGCCAGTTAGGGGTTAAAACCCAGGAAGGCGCATGAGCAGCCAGCTGCATGCAATCAATGGCAGTAAGCTGCTGGTTAGGGAGTAAGAAGTTAATGGCTAGGAGAGAATCGAGGAGCTAGGACTCAAGAACTTCTATTTATATCTTGTAACCGACTGAGAGAATCAAGCAAGAACAAACCTATTCCTAATCTCTCTCTATTCTCTCTTAATCTCATCCCCTTCACCATAGGGCATACAAGGGAGAAACCCCACGCCATTATCAACCCAAGCTACGAGCTTCGTAGTCGAGGGCCAGCTACCTTGAGCACCAACACCCTTGACAGCTTTTATTATGTAGCTAGACATATCGTATATCTAGTGTGTATAGCAAAAGCTATGTACCTAGAAAAGCCAAAACGACCTATAATTTCAATATGATTGCCATATTCTTAACACACTAGCATGTAATAACATGGACCCTAATAACACTAGTACCATTGAAATTCTTTGTTCAATCTTTTTATCTATCACAAAATCATGGCTAGTTTAGGCCAAATTTGTAAGGTTGCCAGTGGTGTGTCATCCAATAACAGTTGAGGAAGGGAAGGGGGTTGTTTGGAAAATTGGAAAAGCATTGATCTAACCAACCAAGACTTCAACATGCCTTGAACGTCCTACAATGCTTCAGCAAATCCCAGGTGTTGGCGACACGTTGGCATGGTAAGACTTTTGAAGTCAGATACATGGAAAACGATCTTCTAGCAGAGTTGCAAGAATAAGAGAAGATAAATAACCATAACAAAAGGTTTAAATAACATCCAGCATGTAAATATAATTCCAATGAGCTGGTAACAGTGTAACACAACATAAGCTCTCCATAACTATGCTCTTAATTACATATAAAAGGGTAACGGACTAATGGAGTATTAGTGTTCAGAGAGATATAGAGAAGTGCAGTGGTTCATCAAAATGAGAAATCAATTCCCAGACAAAGGAACTGTATAGCTCCCACAACTTAGAATGGTCTATTTCACCCTTGATTGCACATAATGAAATATACAGATCAGATGTTTGCCTATCAAATCAGTAAAGTCGAAATCACTGGAAAGTTGCAGGATAATTTTAATTTTTTGGTTCTTTGTATGCAACACAAGGTGATAGCTGTAAGAGCAAGGTATTCACTACTTACTATTACTTCCTCTGTCTGATCGTAAACATAAGTCCATCAAGGTTTACCCCAAGTCAAACTGTCAACTTTGACCACAACACAACAACATAGCCTTTCAGTCCCAAGCAAGTTGGGGTAGGCTAGAGTTGAAACCCACCAAGAGCCCCAAGTCATGGTTCAGGCACTTCAATAGCTGCTTTCCAAGTACTCTTATTCAAACATAGATCTCTAGGTATATCCCAAGCTTTCAAATCTCTTTTTATTGCCTCCCCCCATGTCAATTTCGGTCTTCCTCTACCTCTCCTCATATTATTAGCTTGGCTTAGGACTCCACAAATATAAAAAATGTTTATATAGATTTTCAACACAAGATTGGCATAACTAGATTCAGTATGACAAATTTTCATAATACAGAACTCCTTTCATTCAAGATAATAAATTTTATAAATATTGCAAGCCAAATCTAAAAAATGTTACTCAGGACAAACCTAGATGGACTTATATTTGATCAAACAAAGTGCTATTTATGTAGAAACTGGTAATTCCAACATCTCATTTGTGTTCTGAACTTCCACATGCCTCCTGGAAAGGATATATCACCTATCTAGTGTGTCGGGCATGCAGCCATGCATCTCCACCAACTAGCTACATTAAAAAAAATTTAACAAAAAAACTATTCAGACAACCCCCAGCAGCATGAGAAAGATGGGAAAGGAAAACACCGTACATGTGCACCATTGATCAAAGTAATTTTTCATCGTTCTCTAGTTACCAAACACTCCACAGAAACTAAAATATAAAAAAATGGTAACTCCCACTTCTTCTATTTCACAAGCAAAGCCATATGGAAAGCATGACTTTCCTGAAATGCATATACACCAATTCACCGTTACCAGTAAGGACAGGATTATATTAGTATTAAACAGAAAATAAAACAAGTGTTAAGCACGTAGCATTACAAAGCAAAGCAAGTTGTCAAACAACACAGATAAGATTGCAAGCTCTAGAGAAAATCTTCAACATGGCACACAAATACATTATTACTGCTAAACCACGTGCAGAGAAAGTTGAACCATACCTTCCATCATTGGATAAATTATTATTGTGCTGCAGCCTCAAACTTTTGAAGCATATCACAATGTGGTGTCTGGTATGACAGCCCCCATTGGCGACGCTGCAGCTCGACCCTGCAATTCTGCGTTATTATGGAGTAATAATCCCTCTCAACATGCCGCTCCAGCGTCGCTCGCTCAGTGCTTTGGTGTGGATACTGCTCCTCAAAATTAGACATCTTGACATAGTATGCAACTCCACGTGGGGTTTGGAACTTATGCTCATAAGGGTAGGAACGGGACAGCGAGTAGACAGGCTCAGAGGATGGCAGGAAGTTGAGCAACAGCAGCAGTAGGACTGGCAACAGCTGAATAAGCATCCTGACAGTTGAGCCACCAGAATTTTGTGCGGCATGGGCATGCATCCCACCAGTCCTGAAATGGAAGGTTCCAAACTGTCCAAACTGCCTGGTGGTCGCAGGCGCCATACCACCAAAGAAGAAGTTTCTGAATATCTCATCTGGGTCAAAGTCATCCTCGTAGAACCCATTGTATGCACGGGCAGTGGAGGCCCTCCTGTGGTGCGTTACTGGCTCATCTGAGCCAACAAGGTCATAACGCTTGCGGCTCTCGGCATCGCTCAGGCACTGGAAGGCCTTGGAGATGGCCTTGAAGGCGTCCTCTGCACCAGGAGCCTTGTTCTTGTCGGGGTGCACCTTGAGGGAGAGCTTCCGGTAGGCCTTGCGCACGTCCTCGACACTGCAGTCCTTTTCCAGGCCGAGGATCTGGTAGTAGTCCCTGGTGTGCTTCTTGACCTGGCGCACGACCTCGAGCTGCTCTGCCGTGTACTCCCTGGCAGCAGGAGTCGCCTCCTCCTCCTCCTCCCTCTTCTTGCCCTTGTGCTTCCTCTCTCTCAGACCATCAGCCTCATCTGCCTCCGATGCCCCTGCTGCAGCAGTTTCCGGTGGTGGAGGCGGCGGCTGAGATGATGACGAGGAAGCCGAGGAGTCATCTTGGGGATTGAGAAGGGAGGTGAGGAGGTCGTCGATGGGCAGCGAGGGGTCGAGGCGCTTTGCCTTGGACAGGAACTTGATGGCGCGCGCGCGGTCGCCGGCGTCGAGCGCGCCCTTGCCGATGCGCAGGCACTTGGCCGCGTCGTCCTTGTTGCCCTCCATCGCAGATCTGGCCGCCGCCGTCCCCGGCTGATCGAGCCGAGCAGGCGGGCGACCGAGATGAGCTCACGCAGCGGCGGCGCAAGGACCCGCCCCGATCGGATCAGATCCGCTCAGCCCCAACCCTACCTATAAGATGATACAATCGGCGCAGCATGTGCATGGGGATCAGAAAGAGGAATTCGAGCTTGGAGTACGAATCGATTGCGTAAGGAGCGAGAGAAAGAGGACGATTACCGGCGAGGCGAGGCGAGGCGACGTGGAGTAGGGTTCAGGTGGGTGGATCACCGGAGTCGTGGGGACGGACGGAGGGAGGAGTGGGGAAAGGGAATATGGCGAGCGACACCGACACGGCGACGACTCTCGACGGGTTGGGTTTTCTCTCTTGGATTTTTGTTGTCCTTTCCACGCGTGAAGAAAAGGTCGCAGGAGGCCGGATTCGGAAACGAGATATCTGGCCCAGAAGCTGTTCCGGCCTGGCCCGATTAAAATTTTGCTCTTCTTCTATCAGGGAAAAGACCCACGGCCGCTTCTCTTCAATCTTCCATTCTCCTCTTCTTCTCACGGCAAAGGAGAACTCATGGAAGTCATCAACCGTTCGTTTCGGCTGGATTGACTTATAAGTTATGGCTGAAAGTACTGCTGGTTAGTTTGTGTAAGAAAAAAATATTGTTCAAGTCATGGATTATAAGCCAGATACAAGCAATCCAGCCAAAACGAACAGGCTGCATATTTATACCCGGTGCATAAGCAGAAAATATTAAATTGTAGATAAGTTATTTGATTTGTAATTTTATGTTATTAAATGTGTCCTTTATTTTCAATGTAAAATTCATTATTTGATTTGAAAACTATTTTATACAAGTTTTATGAATTTTTAAGACGGTGTTGTGAAGGTCAAAGCAATGGGATATAATAAAGGAAGGCGATCAGACCTGCCCAAGGTTTTCATACCCCATGGTTGACACCCATAGCTGTGGACAGTCCGTGCCCAGCTAGTTTTCACAAGACAACACACTAAACTAGTTTTTTGTGCCTAGGGTTTTCATACCCCTTGCTCAGCCATGGGCTCCCTCTCTTGCCACTTGAGAAAAACTTTCTTGACATACTAGAACCTTTTTCTACCTCTCACTTGCATACATTGCTAGGGATTGCGCTTTGGTGAGATTGAGAGCATTCTGGTGAATAGCATCAATTAGTTTGATTCTTGTGGAACTGGTGAGATCTCAAGCAAGCATCATTTACTTGTTACTCTTGGAGGTTTCCGCCTCCTAGACAACATGGAGTTCAAGGTTTCATTAAAGCACTACACAAAAGATTGTGTATCTGCTCTGAAATATTGATTCTGAGGGATTCTTGTGCTCACCTCGCCTAAGGAGGTGAAGAGCAACTCTAGCGGAGTCGAGGTGTTCAGTAATTCTTTGGTTCTATTTGGTGGGGAGGGGTTAACTTTCATGGGCATGGACATATCCATAGGTGTCATGTCCTCGGATTTAAAGATCAAGCGATCAGTCTTGATAGAGAAGCAGTGAACATTGAACCCACCATAATGTGAAATAGGGGTGGTTGTAGGGTGGTTGTAGGGGCGAAGGTATGTAGATGCTAGTGGGTGCAAATGCACCACCCAAAAATTATGAAAACAATGGATTTTTCAAAAAATTTACCATATATGCACCCCTACAGTACAAGTCTATGCACTCACAAGGTAAGTGCAACACCCTCTAATTTGCTCTAGCTTCGCCACTAGGTGGTTGGCAAGTCATCTATACCATGGAGAAAATTCTTGTGTCTCCATTGTGGTTGTCTCTTGCATTCAAGTTTCATTCAAGCAATTATTTTGTGTTGTTTACCCTCTTATACTTGAATTTTTGTTTGTCACCCTAAGTTGCAAACATTTACCTAGCTCCGCAGAAGTAGCATAATAGGCTTTTTTGTTGTACTAATTAACTTTGCCTAGTGTTTGTGATTTTAGTTAAAACAACCTAATCACCCCCCTCTCCCTAGTCGCTATGTCATGTACTAAAGTGAAGATGACATACGAACAACGAATAAAGGAGAAGATTTGCCTAATTAAAAATATTTTTTGTTTTACGTGCTTGTTATACACTCTTATGCGTGAAATAAGAACTCGTAATAATTTTGTTCGTCATCAAGATCAAAGTGTTAGTGACAAGGTTACTTATTTGATTTACCTATTTAGTTGTGATTTGTGAAAGAATATACGTAAGCATGTATTATTCGACTATATAAGTCCGTTTGTGCTCTGACACTGGTCCAAGTCCGAACCTTTCTGATATATAAAAAAAATCCACATTCGCATGCGAATTGATGTAATATATCCGCTCTACTCTAAATCTGACGAAAGAAAATGGATTAGGATACGCTTTCATCCGTAGCGATAATAAGGGCCAACTGTGGAATAATAACTTCTGATTTGTCTCTGTTCCATTGCCCCATCATTGAACTACAATTGAAAAAAAAAGTGGCTGCACGAAACTGAGTGCTATATATGGCAGAAAGGGTGAGATAACCACTCATCAAACATTTATTAAGCATTTTCCAAACTAGGGACAAAGTTTCCAATCCATTTCGTGGGGATGAGAAGCTTGCAATGGACTGTCAGAAATCACACAAAATTAGGTCCTAACTCCTACCGACACCTGTATAATATACTAACTGAGCGACATAGTGAGGTGGTTGAAGACTTGAGGTACCTTTTCTGTCAGAATGATTAGAGATTAGGATCCTTCAAATCTGGCCTTAATGCAGCAGCTAACCACCTACACACTAGCTTTTCTCCATCATACACGGCGCCATCAGCATACCGCAGAACAAGGCAATCTGCACATGGTCTGCGGCTTTCTTTATGCTTCCTCCCCTCTCCAAAGAAAATAAAATTTTGTCCCTTGCTCCCACCACTCATTGCAGAGTATCCAACCCACCATAATCCATTGATTAAGAAGTGCCCGGACTACATGATTCCGCTTGCGTGTGCCATTCTCATGCTGCTATATAGATGCCATTAGGAAGACCCATATACAGATCCAGAGCCAATAACCAGCTGAGTAGCAGAGGAATTAGCAAGCAAGCTTAGAAATGGCAGCTCGCCAAGGCAGCAGGAGGACAAGGGCAGATCAGTGGCTGTTTGGTGGGAAGTGGAGGGGAACCGTGAAAGAGACGAGGCATCCCGTTGTCCCTGAGGCCAAGCTGCCCCCAAATCCCACCCCCGTTGTTCAGAAGGACGAAGGCATCTACCTTGAGAAGTCTAGAGTGCATGTCGTGCCTGGTCTCGGGCAGAGAGAGGTCGTCGACGTCGCTCCCGGAAGGAGATCTATGCCGGAGATGGAGATCAACATGAAAGAAGTCGTTGCGGTGCTCGGGGTGAAGGTCATGGCCGCAGACATGCCGCCATTCATGCAGCTGCATGCCTTCCGGTGCGCTAAGCGATCCCATGACAACTTGGACAAGTTCAGCTCAAGGCAGCTGGCGCATGATGTGAAGAAGGTATGCTGGTTCTGATCTTTGCCTTGCCTTCTACAGAGCATCGTCCATTGTTTTCTTCTTCCATCTTCCTTTCCTTTGTCTTTCAGATGAGTGAGTTCTTTGTGAAATCATACTTCACAAATTGGCCAATTAATAAGCTATCTTTAACAAGCTGCTTGTGTTGAAACCAACATAGACACATTGTCATCATGTTACTGATGCTGCACTTGGCCGGCCTTGGGGGCATGATCACTATATACTTTTCTTACATTTTTCAATCTTCAATTGTTGCTATCCAAACAGGAGTTCGATAAAGTGTATGGGCCTACGTGGCACTGCATCGTTGGTACGAGCTACGGTTCCTTTGTGACACATTCCAGAGGCTGTTTCCTCTACTTCTCCATGGACAAAATCACTGTGATGCTGTTCAAGACCAAGATAAGGAAAGTGTTAGCATCCTGAGCTTTTGTGTCCATCATGAAGGGTTTGGTCAGTCCAGCTTCTCTATGATACTGACACTTATAAAATACTGAAGCTTAGCTTGGAGCCGAAGAGCTAAGGCCTTGTTTAGATTGAAAAAAATTTCAACCCGATGAATAGTAGCACTTTCGTCTTATTTGATAAATATTGTCCAATCATGGACCAACTAAGCTTAAAAGATTCATCTCGTGATTTTCAACTAAACTGTGTAATTAGTTATTTTTTTTACCTACATTTAATGCTCCATGCAAACAGCTAAAAATTGATGTGATGGAGAGAGAGTGAAAAAACTTGGAATTTTAAGGGCATCCAAACAAGGCCTAACTTGAATCATTGTTGTTTGTGAGTGGCAACTTGCTACTGAACGGTGAACATGGGGCCGTACTGCGGTGCTGTTGTTGTAGACTAAATTAACAGTTCAAAGCAATGATGCAGTGTTTGCATCGGTGTAGTGTAAGACCGTGTCTAGCAACAGCGATCCAAAATACACGACCCATTTATCCTTTGGGTAGCGTCACATGTAAATGATTCAATACATATTTTTGATCTTCTCCAACAACAAGATCTAAAAGAAAAACACTTTCTGCAAATGGGTCTCCAGAAGAGAGGATACTCAGATTTGGGTTATGCCTCTCCTGACACTCAAAATAAGTCTTCTATATAGATACTCTGTTGAAGACTATAAATATTATGTTGGAGACCTATTTTAAATTTCGGTTCGGCACTGGCCTGGCAAGCTGCATCAGCGATCACGATCAAGGTCACGTTGTAAGATCCCTGATTGGTAGAGATCTGTTTGTCATAGGTAGGGCCATTGTAAGGAATGGCATGGTCACGTCATCGTCACGCCGTGGACCAAAATCAAAATGTTTGGCATTCGCATCATGTGCTCCCTCCGTCCCATTAAAAATATCGTTTTTAATTTTTAAATTTCTTATTCAACTATTCGTCTTATTTAAATTCTTTATACAAATAATAAAATAAATAAATTATTATTAAAGTATCTCTAATGATAAAATAAGTCATAAAAAATAAATAATATTTATACAAATTTTTTTAATAAAACGAATAGTCAAATAAGAAGTCTAAAAGTAAAAAAACAACACTTTTAATGAGACGAAGGGAGTATGTAATTGTGGTCTGCCATATTGCTATTCTTTTTTTTCATATAATATGAAGCTTTGGATCGTGCTAGGAAATTTTTAAGATTTAGCTCAAATTTATACTAAATCATATATTTGGATCGAAGCGACGAAGGAACTCCCAATTGGATTAGAAGTCATCCTATTGACATCATCAACACCAACTCAGACTCAGAGAGAGTACCCTAGGATATGATAACTCGAACCCCAATGCCAAACCACTCAATGGATGGATCAATTCCACACAGACAGTAATATATCGGATAGTCCGTCAGTTCTACCGGACCATCCGATGAATCACAGAACAACAACAGTAAGTGGGAAGTGAGCTGTTTGCCACTTATGGGAGTGGAACCCACATGTCAGCACGAGTTTGGATATTTCACCAGCTGAAGCCACACTCTCTCACCCATTCATTTGTCACTCTCCCTCTCTCTACACCTCAAGAACAAGGATGAACCCTAGAACTAGAGAGAGAAATGATTGAAGAGAAGATTGGAGAAGAGGAGAAGGAAGAAGGAGGAAGCACCAGCACCACTCCATGGACACCATCAACATCTTCAATCTTGTGCATGGTGAGCCCTACTGGTGGTGGTTCCATCATGTGTAGGGTAAGTTCGAGGAATCTTCATCTAGCTCAATCACTCAAGCATCCCATGGATTATCATTTGATTCATCTTTTTGGTATGTTGCAAGAGGAAGCTCATGAACAACCCATCTCTTGGATGAAGAAGCCAAGGGTAGAAAGGAGTTGGATCTTCAAGTTTTTGGCTATGGAAGCTCTCAAATCTTAGAGCTAAGGATCCATCTCAATCTCATGGTTTATCTTCTTTTTCTCAAGTTTTTGGTTTAATCCCAAACCTATAGCTACACTTAGCAAACCAAGCTTTAAACCTAGCTATCTTGAGCCTAGTAAGCTACCTAACCACCCTAGGAATGTTTTGCATATGCATAGATCACATCCTAGCACATCTAGACTTGAAACCCAAGATCACCCAAGAACATAGGTTCTATCGATTGTTTGACGGAGTGTCCATCAACTCAACGGAGTGTCTGCCAACTCTAGAAAATCCAACCAACAGAGCCTTATCGTCTGTCGACCTGAGTCAACAGAGAGTCTATGGCATCACCGAAGTGTCCGTTGACTTATAAGAGTGAATAACCTAGAAACCCGAGAGCACCAAGTTCTCAGTAGAGAGTCCGAGACATCCTATGGAGCATCCGCTGATTTATAAGCTCAGTCAACCAAAAACCCAAGACCTCCTAGTTCCTATCAGAGTGTCCGACACATGGTTCGGACATCCCAATAAGTGATGTAGACCCCGAGATGGCACAAGTCTTGAACCATCGGAGTGTTTTTTAGAGCATCCGTGAGGCAACGGAGAGTCCGTCACCTCTGATGGAGCATCCGTTAACCCAAACAGAGCCGAACTAGACCTAAGTCACCTCGAAGCCTAACCCGATGGAGAGTCCGCCACATGGGTCGGAGCATCCGTTAAGTTAGCAGAAGATGTGAGTTTGTTTAGAAAGCTTACCCATTAGGTCAACAATACTAGGTTGTGCTTAGTTACAAATAGGGCAATAGTAGAGCCATAATTAGATGTCTCTTCCTAAGTTCCAAATCAAGTCCTTATCTCTAAATCCCCATCAGTTATTTTCATTCCCGATCTTCATTTTCTTTTAGGAATCGAGTAGCGCGAGGAACGTGTGCAAGTCCTCATCGCCAGCTTCGAATTTGTTCGAACGGCATAACCAGGCAGACACCCCACTACTAAAACCCTATTTTGGATGCTTATCGTGTTTCATTATGAGTCGCGCATTTCATGTAGAATTGATTAACCAACATAATGATGCTTCATTAAGTTAGAACTAATTAATAATTAATTAGGGCATTCACCTAATCAACAGGATTGGTAACGTTTAATTTCTTATTTGCTTAGATAATGGTATAAATCGAGTATAAGCAAGGGAACTCATACTTGCGCATGTAGGATGCTACACCGGGATAATTAACTACTAAAATGAATGAGGGTTACAACTTATCCACTTCCCTAATTTTGACTAAGTACCCAACTTAACCTTGTGATATGAACATAATGATCAATTTTGGTAATTCTTGCTCAAGCGAGGGGTAGGTCACTGTGAGTGTGGGATCTCAGGTGGCGTAGTTCGTGGAGCAGTTAAGGACCGTATATTGGGATATGTGAGTCCGAGTAACCACCCGTACAAACCACATGTCACATATGGGGGTGGCGAGCCTAGTAACTAATTGTGATCGGTCTATCCGTGGAACTAGCAAGAAGATAGCGCTGGTTAGATGGTGGTAGCATTAACCGGACACTAGTCGAACCTTTCATGTGACATTCGGGCTGAATTAGGGAAAGGTTGGAAGACGTGAGGCAACCCTTACCCTCGCACAGGTATGGTGGTTCATCCCGTTCTTCCATATGGATACAGTTGTGCACCTCTGTAGAGTGTTAAAAGCCTGAAGTCCTTCGGGACGGAACCCTTTTGGTTGTTCCTATTTTCTATACCCATGGCAGTGTTGATAAGCCTTATGAGATGAATTACATATGTTGCTCACTCATCTTGTGTTATGATCTTATATCCGTTAATACTTTAATAATAAAACATGAGCATGTCATTTTAATAAACGCCATCGCTTTTTTGCAAATGTACAAATGTCTGATATCACCCTTGCATCCACCAAATATTTATATGTTGGAATTAAGCCCTACGAGTACGAAATGTACTCATGGTACTGTCGTTAAGTTGTTTTGCAGGTAATATCATTTTGGTTGATGCGAGCTAATGCTCCATTCACCGCTGCATAGTGGATCTTGGAGTGGGCGACTCCAAGATGTGCTACAAGTTAACTCCAATAAAATTTCAAGTGAATTGCCGAAGAGTTAAGCCTAGAAGGAAAATTCTGAAATGATGTTTATTCATGTTTCCCTATTTTGTATATTAATGACCCCAGTAAATCTTTTTAGCTAAATTAAGTCCTTTGGCACGATGTTATGTGTTATATATGTGGTTTATCACATGGGGTGTTTTGTGTCACTCGACCGTTAAAAAAATCTGAAGGCGAGGTTGGTCCTCGCAACATGTATCTCGTTTGGGCATAAGAAATGTTTAGAATCGTTTTAGGGAGAATCATTTAGAATCGATTCTTAAATTTTTACTAATTCAAAGAAACACCTTAAACCTAGTTTCTTCCAAACATGCCCTAATAAAATCCTAAAATAGTGGGTAGCATGTGCAGGTGATAGCTACATCATCAAATTCAAAGATGCGTGGACATCCTTTCTAAGGGCTTGTTTGGGCTTCGTGGGAACTTTTGGTCCTCAAAAGCTCAAAGCTGAAACAAACAACCAGCTTCTAGGGCCAGCTTTGCAAAAGCCAAAAGCCCACCAAAGCCAAGAATACATAGGAAGCCAAGACGCTCATCTAAGGCGGCTTTTGGGCAAAAAATACCCACCTGCCACCTCTTAACGAACAAATCTTTATTTTCATAGGGGACTTCTTTCTTCGCTTGCCTTTTCTGCTTGGACGGGATCTGCAGCTGCCCCCTGCCCTCACCGTAGAGCACCACCACCTCGCGTAATTGCGAGTTCTCTAGCTCCGCCGCCCCTTTGCTTAGAGCATAGAGGGCTTGAGCTTGGCCAAAGGGGCTTGATCGCATGAGCTCGCACTTGTTGTCTCCATGGAGGGCCGCCACATGCAAAGCCTAGGCACGTCCAGAAGGGCCTGTCACCCTTGCCATAAAGGTTTGTGAGCTCATGCCGCCAGGCCCGCTGTAGTTGCCCCTGCCACCCTCGCCGATGACTAGACCTAAGCAAATTGAGCCCCGCTGGGTTTTGGCCCATCCATGAGCCTTAGTGGAAAGGGCCTGGGCATAGATCCGGCTATCCAGAAAAATGTTTCTAGGCCCAAGCCCAATCTGAAATATTTATTTTAGCTACTTTACACTATAAAATATGCGGGCAACCCACCTAGGCCCAAGCTCGGCCCAAAAAATTAAGCCCAACTCGTCTAGTGGGACGGTCATAGGCGGGATTTTTTTAGCCTGACACAACCAGGATTTTTTACGGCTTGACCCGAACCAAACCCGGCCCGCAAAATGCTCATGTCTACCGATGACCCTTGCCCCCGCTACAGCTAGGGCCACCATAGGTACCCCTGCCGTCGTCAATGTAGCTTTCACCCAGGAGTATTCTAAGGTATCTATTTTCATAGGGAATGTGAAGTGAGCTTAACGAAGAACAAAGTTCGTCCTAGGATGACACAAGGATAAATGATAGATTGGGTAGAGAGGATTTCTATGGATATAAAACTAGATAGGTAAAATAGTTACAAAGGTTGTTCACTTTGGGTCACTAGATGCCGCTTAGCAGCGGAAAGGGATGACAAGAGTGCTAAACTGCCTAGCAGAGAAGACCTATGTTTTAAGAACTTGCCCGAATGTGGTGGAATACAGAGATCAGATAGGGTTGTCACCACCTACAGACTACCACAAACAAACATGGTGCAAGCCACAAACACATCTAGCGTATAGTGTAGACACCATGTCTATCTACACTATATCTTACTACTCTAGTCTCGATCCCTATGAAAATGATTAGAGTATCGAGTCAAGGGTGGTGAAACAGCGAACCACAGAAAATAAATACTTACCAACTCTAAGGATCAATTACCATAAAAATCCCCGATGCTTACTTACAAACAAGTCTACATCCATTGAGGTACAACTTAGGAGAAGATGCCAACAAACCCAGCACTCCACACTCTCCTCACTCTCTCCCTATTTTCTATGCTATTACTAGAATAGGGCTTGGCCTAACTGTAGAATGAGTAGCTTCTCCTTGGTGTCTCTGAATGAGAGGGAGTGAGGGGGTATTTATAGTGTAGGAGGTGCCTTCGGGGAGTGGAGATGCTTCCTTGATTTTAAGGAATATTCTCTTTTGGTGGGCTCATGGATCCAAGTGCTCCAAACCTCAGCCATTAGATCAAACAACCATCAAATCAAGGGGGAAGTTGGAGCATAGTTGTGTTTCCTTGCATGGATGGAAGATGGAGGTTAGTGGGGGGCCCTGGGGGTCGCCCAACCTAGGGGGAGCGGTCTGTCGACCTCCCCCAGTGACTTGTGGGCGCTCCTGCTCTTATGGGGTGCTAGGTCCATATGTCATGGTGAGGTGTGAGTGATGTTGGGAGTGTTGTCACGCTGAATTCTTCGTAGTTATGAGTCCATCAACCCTTGTGCCTTGCATATCCCCCGTCCATCAACCCTTGTAACAGCTGAAAAGCTTGATGGTGAATCTTTAGAAGCCAGCAATGCCAGTGGTGATGGAAGTTGATGTTTGCTGTGAGCTGAAGAGATAACCTTCTTTGGTTGAGACGTGAGGCAGTTTCCAAGTCACCAGTCACAATCTTCCACATTGCTTCCTCTTGGTTGGAGCCCTCCTCATAAAAGACAAAACAAACATCTTCATTCCAGTTCAATAATTGAGATTCCTCTCTGTCACCCTCCTTCCTGCTGTTATAATGATTGTTATTGTTAGCCAGTCTGAGTAATACATGTGCATTTGATATTGTCCTTGCTTACTAGTAGTTAATAGCTGTTAAGATCTAAGACCAGCCTTCCACCAACAAAATACATACAGCTTCCACTATAGTCATCTGTCTTCTGGGAAGAAGAGGTATAATCTCCCAATTCTAGTTCTGCCTCTCCAGTTGCATCCTTCGTCACTCTCCCTACACACTGTCACTAGACTGGTGTTCAGACTTCACAGGCCTTGACTCCCATGGTTCAGATGTCTTTGCAGAGGTCAGTTTCTCCATGCTACTTCTTGGAATTCAGCTTTGTGTTTACTGGTGCTTAGTGTCTGTGATCTAGAATGCCACAGCTTTTACAGTGATTCAAAACCTGTTCTTGCAGGAGCATAGCCGTATATCCTCGTTGCTCCTTATCCGATTCGCTGCATCGTGTGGGTGGTTCACGAAGAAGATGGGCCTCTTGTTGGTCCCAGTCTTCACGTTTTGCTTATAATGCAAGACCATCTCCAATTGTTCTCAAGACCGACCATGCAATTGATCCCTCTGAACCAAAGAATTTGGATACAAGTTCCTCAGCTTCAAGAAGTGGACCTTACATTGGGACTTGTCATCCATCAGGCGCAGCTGGAGTAATGGGTGCGTCTTCCTCTTCCTCCCTCAGATTTTTAGAGAAATTTGTGAGTTGGAGCACTAGAGGTAAAGAAGAGGCACCTCCATTCATCATCTGCAATGACCCGCTTGTCAAGAAAGAGCTGTTGCCATCTGGAACCCAATCCACTTCTGGCTGTAGTATTGCTCTTGGGAAGTTAAGGCAGAAGAGGCTCTTCTTGGAGCAATCTGGAGCATGCTGTATTGTTATGCCATGCCAGTTCTTACATGCCTGGCATGATGAGATTTCACAGGGTTGCTCGGTTCCGTTCCTCCATGCTGGTGATTGCGTTGTAAAGGAACTCAAAGCTGCTAACTTGAAACCTGTTGAGTATGGAAGTAATGTCCGTGTAGGAGTTCTGTTCACTGACAATAAATTGGCTACAAACTGTTATCTAGATAAGCTGGAGAGCCAGGTAAACATCTTTTTTTTCATCAATTGTCATATGCTTAATGATAATATCTCTCTTTTTGAACGAAATGATAGTCTATATCTCCACTTTAATGTAAGTAAAGAGGTATTATATTGGCTTTTGATATAAGTTAGGCTGATCCCTTTTAGTCTAAAAGAAAAGCGGTATTTGTGCTTTGTAATTTTTTTATATATCTGGAAAAACGAACTAGCAGGATGTTGAATGAAATATTATTTTTGACCTTGGTGCTTGGCTCAGGCATTCTATTAGAAGCAAGACCTTTCTTTGATAGTTCCTATATGACAATTACTACATCACTGCATATGTATTTTCTACAAATTAGACAGCTCAGCTCCTACGTCAGTGATGGATGGTCAGATTTTTTCCCGTCACTTTTTTATGATACCTCCCTTTGTCTGAAAGCTCAGTCCCAAAAAGATTGATAACTACAGGTCTGCTGGGCTATTGTAATTTGTAGGTTGTCCATTCCTAGTTTGCCAGTCCCATGACAAGTTGTCCAATGGCATTTTTTTCACTCTACTAGTGAGATGGCTTGAAAAAGAATTTGATTTGATATTTTCCTTGGTAATAATATTCTTCATTCATCCAATTGGGAGCATATGGTTAAATTGTTCCTTGTTTAAATTTGTTCGTCAGGGTTTTGAGGTACTATGTCCAGATAAAGCTTCCATGGAGCGTACAGTGTTACCATCAGTCGACACATTCAGGAAGGGGGACATGGAAGGCGCGAGAAACCTGTTGCGAGTATCGCTGCAGGTTCTTCTTGTGAGAGCTGTCAATAAGATAATCCTTGCGTCCGATGACCTTGTAGGCATTTTGCCTGATGATGACCCTCTGCTCAAGAAATGTATAGACCCATTGGATGCCTTGGTCCGAGAGGCCATCGAATGCGCACGAGCACCATGACCATGATGTGCCCAAGATTACTCTGTTTCCTTGCTCGTATTGGCCTTCAGTGGTAGCTGTTTACACACACCTTGACTGCTGATGAGCACATATGTAAATTTTGCAATAAGATAGAAAAGGAAGGATTCATCTCGGCCAAGATCATCGATGGTTAATTGATTGAACACATTGTATGCGTTTTCATCTGTGTTATTACGCTTCTGCCTCGCAAGTTGCAACCAAGTCAACCGAGATGCCGATGACTCCATCTGTGATCTGTGAGCCCAGATATGTGAAAACATTTTGTGGCTCGGCTACTGCAAGGAGAAATTCCGAACACGAATCTAGGAATCAAACTGCAGATGTGATGTTTCAGGAGATCAGGTTGTTGATAGAAGTAGAACAAAATGAAGACACCGCCGAATCTGCGGCACGCACAGGGAGCACATTTTTCCTTTTCAGATAAGTTGCAACCGTAGCTGTCCAGCAGTGTTCCGCTTTGGTGTTTTTAGCCAGGAGGCGGAGGTTGTCGAATGGCTATCTAAATTAGAAAGAATGTATGCCAAAATTTTGGTGAATAAATTTGTAAGTGCTGCAGCCATTACGAATTCTTCAAGACATCAATTCAGAAGACAGAGCATCTGCGACTATATGATCTTCCTCTATCACAGTAGAATTACATGCCCGAACCTGCAAAACGCAGCGATCGGTGTGTCATCAGGAGTTGCAACAGTGCATTTGACCTGGGAAAGCTGCTGGTGGGTCCCTGGTCACTGGTATTCCAGAGAATGTACTGATTGGTGTGGAATGGAGCAGAGGGCATAGATGAATGTTCTGAGCAGAGGGGGGCGGGGCGGGGTCGGGGGGTCGGGTGGAACGGGGATTGCAAAAGCGGTGCATGATTAGCGAGCAGGGATGCAGGCTGTCTGCAGGCCTTGCACCAAACAAGTGGCAGTTGCCCTTTCTCCCAATGCAGGAACCAGAGGGTCAGAGGCACAAAGGGGAAGGAAACCACCAATTGGCTGCCTTTGTTGAGGGTAAGGCAGTAGGAACTCAGGCTAAGACCGAAGCACTCACTCTCCGCTTTGTGCATGCTCAACGATATGCATGGTCATGCTCATGGCTTTTGTGTGCTATCTATATATTCTGATGCTTGCTTCTCCTCATCACCTTGTCATGACTTTTCTTTATATACATTTTCTATTTTCATTTCGCAAAAGGGTGGTGTTTCGGATCGATGATTTGAGGCATAATCCTAGATGTAAGCGCCTGTGGCCATTGAGCTTCAGCATCATAACCTTGGTGGTGTCCTTTCAAAAAAAAAAAAACCTTGGTGGTGGGGTTGCGTACGCCTGCATGTCTCATAGACAGGTGCTATACCACTATTACATAAACCATATTAAGAGGCGTCCCTATTTTTTTTTTTCTAGAGGGTTAGGTCAAGAAACATCTCTACAGATGTCTCTAGGGCATCCTGTCTAATGGACCGCCGAGAAATGCCGCGCGGGGTGGGGTTGGGGGGTGGGGGGGGGGTTGTTAATATTGTTAGCACTATAGGCAATGTCTTAACACCAATAATTGGAAACAAGTGATAATGATATATATCACCAATGAAGTAGCATTAATAGTGCTTATCATTTACCCAAATATGTAGTTAGAAAATGCCACAATTAGAAACAAAAGATTGTTGACATTGGCAAAAATGCAATTCTCAACTAAAAAGATCCTCACTAACCTTAAAGAAAAAATAACAAACCATTAAAATTTTAAGCAAAGAATCTAGAGAATGTTTCATTGAAGAAAGGAAAATATATGCATTACCTACGTCCTTTTTCCTTCACGTTCATGAAGAGATCAACCGCAACATCATTTGTAACTTTTTAATCTTCTTTCTTCACGCAGAAAATAAGTCTATTACTTAAGTGCGCATCACCCATGCAGTTGCTTAGAGATTTTTTCACAATCTTCGTGTGTGAAAGGCATCTCTCCACTGTTGTTGTAGAAATTGGCAATACCAATAAAAGTTTCAAAAGTCAATAAATCAATGGATAACAATGATCTTTCCATGTCTCTTTGTTGGTATTTATTAACTTGTCACTTGTTTAGTAGCCATTATTATAAACCTATATCTCCTAACATTACTTGTCACTTGAGTTATCCATCCTACCTTCTGTTTGCTTACAGTTTTCAGCAGTTCAGAAGAGCACCATGGGATGGGAGGTCCTTTGTTTATCGATTTCCAGCATCAGCTCAGTTCTTGTGCAAAAGCAGGTGGACAGCAGCACATCAGTAGCTTTGCTCTTATCTCAGGTAGTAGCGACTGTAGCTAAGCATCAATTCACTTTTGAGTGAAATGTCCCTTTCATAATAGTGTCTGTAGTTTCCTGCTAACTAATACCTCGGAGGTCCTGTAGTTTGGATTAGCATTACAAATGTATTGGAAACTAATCACATATTATGAGAAAAAACCATCTCAAACGCTGTTAGAAATGTATGGTTAAATCCATCTTAAATATTATGGCATGAAGTGATGTCTGAAACATAGCTATTATGAGAAATATATTTGTTGCAATCTGAAATAAAGTTCATTTTTGTTCTGCAAATGCAGGTATGCATGCTTGACACGCTCTGTCTTAGTTGGTCAGTCTATTCTAGGCTCACCACTCTGTGTGATTATTATAGGTGCATCTGTATTTTATTTTAACCTTGCTGCTCATACATGAGTTTATGACAGCGACTTTATTCATTTTATTTTGTATAATGAACCATAACTGGTGGATAATTTGGTCTTGACTCTTATTATTAGGTGGCGCCACAGCCGAAGCCACCTTCAAACCCTCTAAATATACTGATGCTGATGTTTTGATTGTGAGTATTCACAACCAATAATTGTGTGTGTTATACAGTGATAGGAGAGAGGATTTGGCTCATGTAGCCAAGTATGATTATTCATAGCTCTGAATTTTGTTTCATTTGATAAATTTTCTTATTTAGTATCCCCTGAAAATCCAATTTCTCTGATCATTCTGCGGCAGTCTAGAATGTGCAGATCAATGTATTTTAAGATTTTATACAGATGAATATTGTGGAAATATCAATTCTGTACTAGATATTTACTGCATGTAAGTGTTCCTACAACTTAGTTCATGCATAAATCGCAGACAAATTTGGTCTATATAAATTACTATTATTTACAACCGCACGTCCCATATCGTCCGCTGCTGACTTTCAGCATCGACTCTTTGTGATTCCTGCCTTCTGCTACTTCTCCCCACATGCACAGCTTGGCTGGTGCTCTTCACATGGATTATACTCCTAAACAACAGAACTCAAAATCCAGATTGCATATAGTGCTTTTTCTGGGCACACATTAGGTTTCTATGCATGGTTCCCTAATTTTCCAGTTCACACATGACAAGATTTCAATTAGGGTAGTGTGCAAATAATTTAATTATTTATTGTTTGCTCTTGTCATGTTGGAGGATAAGAGGTTTTTGCATCTACATATTATCTGTGACGAGAAAACTTACTTTAACTTGCTAGATTTGCATATAATAATTGATGTTTTTCTAGTCACACATATGTTCCGGTGCAAATAACCAATTTTTTTATGGTCCACGTGCTTTTTTTGGAAGGTACGTAGGTCTTCCCATCAACATATATTTAATTATTTGTTATCAGGATACCTTGCATATAGTAAAGTTTTTAGTAAAGGTTATTTTGCCATTCTGAGTTTGTTTAGTTGGCTCATAAATGCCTGATTCTAACTTTCGTGCAGTGCATGCAGTTCACCATCATCTTACAAGATTTATGATTATTCAATTAGCTAGCTAATTGTTTCGTAGATTTTACTGAATTTGTGCATTAGTATTTCAGTTTTTAGTAGAAAATTGGGAAATGATTAATGTCTCAAGTGTGATTGTGAGGTGTGACCTGCTAGCCTGCTCTTGGCTGTGTTTTTTTAGCGTGCATTATCTAAGTGATCAAGACTTGGTATTATGAGCTTTTGAATTATGTAATGTCTCAAGTATTGTGCTTTTCTGATTGGCCATACAATTTGTTTGAGTTATTCACTTATTTAATTACTACTATGTTGCTGGGACATTTATATGAGCACAAGACTTAGTAGTCTGATTCATTAATAAGAACTGCAATATTCTTGTGCTTGTTTTATAGCTGACAATGATTCTGTTCTCGCATAATGCATACTTCTAGATTTATATGGAAGACGTGTGCGACATTTACTGCTGCTCCATATATTAGGTGTGATTTTGAATAAATCTAGTGTAACTTTATGCATCTCATGGAGAGAATTGTTGAATTTCAGGTGCCATTTGATTGTTACTATGAGACTTGGAGAATATTGAGGCATGATGTTTTAGTTAGTTTTTTTTCCACAAGAGTTTTAGTTAGTTGACATACTACTTTTATTTTGGTAATATGCATCCTGTTGAGTTAAGGGTTGTCTGAATAAACTAAAATTATATCACTCAAAGCTTTTGATGCGCTACATCAATTTTAACATTAATCTATATTTTCGGAAAACTAATGGATGGGGTGAAAATGGTAATTTTAACAAGTAGCAACCATGACATAACAACTCTGTCTTACAATTTGTGCAATTGTCCTTTCAAATTGTATTTGATAGACCGATAATTCCAGCTCTGATTTCCAACATGCTCTCACTTAGCTACACACTTGTTCTATATTTTCACAAAATTTAGATTTTTATTTAGAGTACATAACTGAACTCTTAACTTGTTAGGCCTTGCGTTATGGAGAAGAGGCATTCTGAGGCTAGCCATATCAGGGAGAAGTACTTCAATAGATGTCTTATAGTGACGTCTTCTATACTTGCATTACATCCAGAAGTAGATATCTTGCAATTACAATTAATGAGGTTTTATTTGAGAAATCAGACTAACATTATTTTAATTTTTTGCAAACAATGGCTGAATGATAAGAAGCTGGAACTAATAGTAAATTAGTAATACTAGGAATAGTATTACTTGTTTTGGCCT